CTAACTGCATGTTTATTCCCACTAACCAACCTCTTTTTATCCCCTCTCCCACCCACACACCCTTCTACCCTCTGGTATCTGTTATTCTATTCTCTACCTCCTTTTAGCTACTACATATGAGTAAGAACATACAATATTGATCTTTTTGTTCCTGGTTTATTTCACTTAACATGATGACTTCTAGTTCCATCCATGTTCCTGAAAAGGACAGCTTGTCATTTTTTATGACCAAATAGTATTCCATTATGTATATATACACACCATATTTTCTTTATCCATTTGTCCATTGATGGACACTTAGGTCGATTCCATATCTTTGCTATTGTGAATAGTGCTGATATAAACATGTTTTGTGAAGTTATCCCTTTGATATTCAAATTTCTTTTCCTTTGGTTAAATGTCCAGGAGTGGGATTCCTGGATTGTATGGTAGTTCTATTTTTGGTTTTTTTGAGAAATCTCTACTCTTTTCCATGGTGGTTGTACTAATTTAAATTCCCACCAATAGTGTATAAGGGTTTCCTTTTCTTTGCATCCTTGCCAGCATCTGATTTTTTTTTAATCTTCTTAGTAATAGCCATTCTAACTGGGGTGAGACGATATCTCTTTGTGATTTTGATTTGCATTTCTCCATGATTAGTGATGCTGAACATTTTTTCATGTATCTGTTTGCCATTTGCATGTCTTCTTTTGAGCAATGTCTATTCATGTCCTTAGCCCACTTTAGAATGGGATTATTTGTTTTTTATTGCTGTTTGAGTTCCTTGTGTATTCTGGATCTTAGTTTCTGGTAGGATAAATAGTTTGCAAATATTTTCTCCCATTTGACAGGTTGTCCATTCACTCCGTTAATTGTTTCCTTTGCCATGCAGAAGCCCCTGGTCCACAGGTAGCATGTGTGGGTGGGTGCCAGCTGTGCTGATATCAGCAGGTTGGGTTTCCCCAATCTCAGACCCTAGGAGTAACGTTCACATGTCAACAGTGGTAAACTGGGTTGGGTGATCCCCAGGCCTCTAGATGGCATGCTCAAGTACTAAGGGGACAGGACCAGGCCAGTGGTCTTGTCCGCAGGCCCCCTGGTTGTGCATTCAGGCATTGGCTATAATGAGCAGGGGCCGGGTGGTCCTCAAGCTGCCAGCAGAATGCTCAGATGAGGGCAGTGGTGGCTGTGCTGTGGGTTTGCCACTGGGGAGGGCAAGGCCCCTCTCAATGGGAGCAGTGTATTCAGGCAGCTGCGGGGTGAGCAGTTTGCTCACACCTTGTTCCTGGAGTAGCCCAAAGCAAATGTGTTGGTATTTGTCCTCAGGGTGTGTGAAAGTACCTGGCCTCCCTTCGCCCTCCTTGGCCTGGCAGACGCAGCAGCATCGATCCCACAGCAAGACTCAGTCCATTAGGGGCTGATCTCTCAGAATGGTGCCATGCTGCATCTGCTCAGGGATTAGAGCCTGTGGGACTTCATGTGAGCTCCCTCTCTGGAGCGGTGCCTCTGTGTAATCTCTAATTCTGTAGATGGATTGTGTCGATGGTTATGTAACAGTGTGAATGTTCATAGTGTCTCTGAACCTTACACCTAAAAATGGTTAAGATGGTAATTGTATGTTATGTATATTTTCCCACAATAACAAAATGTATGTGGGATACAGTTAAGAGAATCTTATTCTCTCCAGGGGAGAAGGGAGGTGTAGAGAGATACAGAGATGTACATGTGACTATTTGAAAATTAAAAGTTCTCTTTAAATAAGAGAGAGAATAAACCAGTTCTGCTGATTAGTAGTTATGTGACTTTCTGCAAGTAGGTAAACCTCTCCAAGCCTCAGTTTCCTAAACAATAAAAACACAAGGGGTGATATTTTTCCTTTATTGTTACTGTTCTTTTTCCTTCACCCCTCAGATGACTGCACAGCCTAGCAATCAGTGCTTTCAGGGGATGATTAACACTACTGCTCCCTAAAGTAGGAACCCTCCTATTATACCTGCCTATTCCTGTGCATTCACAATAGAATGAATGAATGAACAAATAAGTGATTACTGTAGACTGTTCTGTTTCTTTCTATCTCATGCTTTCCCCGTCTACCCATCCCACGTGCACACAGGCACAGAAAGACACACACACACACACACATAAAGACATGCAAATTTTGTAAATCTGTTCTCCTCCTACTCTAAGAATCACCAGATTTATTTTATTGACTTTCTTTTATGGCCAATTTTCTTCCTAGCATTTTATATCTTTTTTGGCAGTTCCCTGAAGGAGAAGAAAGTATGCATTTTGTTGCCAGGCAACGAGTATCTCCAGAATGCACATTGCTTTTTTTAGATGGAAAAGGGAGTGTTTAATTTTTGCAAGTGAGGTTTGATTTCAGTTCTTCAAAGGTCACTCAAACAATTGAGAGTTATGAAGAATTTCTCAGTGCAACTTGTAAGCCCAGTCTTTCCCTTAGTCCCCGGGGTAAGGACCAGGAACTTTGAGCCAAGTTGTCCCTGTTCAAGGTCTCCTACCCTATTCTAAGGGAGATACTTCTATCTACAAATAGCAACAAGCCCAGAAGGTCTTTACAAACAGGCAGATTTTACTTAGCCTGAGAGGCAGGAGCAAGTAGACAAAAAACAGGAGCAAGGAGATAAAAAGAGATGTTTTAGGTATTATAGATATGCATAAGGAAAAATTTGTGGCAATAAAACAATCTAAATAGATATCTTTTATGGGGAGGGGGAGTGTTAGGGTGACTGCAGGAGGGAAGAATATTCCTTCAAGATAATAATGGAGCAGTGAAGTCAGATGTCGTCTACTGTACCTCATTTCATTTAATCATAACTCATAGAAGCTCACACACAAATGATCAAAACACCTTTTTTGATTTTCATCTTTTTTACATTTTTCATTTGACTTTATTAAAAAGATTGATAAAAAGTAGGTTTTGAACTTTTTAAAGATGACATATCTGTTCACTTCCCTTAGAGTCTATGGTCCAGTGGGGACAATGAATATTTTCAATTTTCTATCTTACCTATATTTTATTTATTTATAATTTCCCTTCTCTATATTTCCCTATGTGTTCTATTGCCCAGCCACCCTAGAAGATGCCACTGCCACTATTTATATCATTCTTAAAGAGACACAATCTCACGTGCCACCTCCTCCAAGATGCCCTCCAGTTTCTATTATTATTTTTTCCTCTGTGATCTACATGTCTGTTCCCTTATGAGAACAGACTCACTTATTTGGCTCACTATAACTGTTAAAAGAATTAGTTGGTTAAAAGGTTTGACAGCCCAAGTAGTTTATAAATAACTTAATAAGAAGGTTCGGTTCATTTCTGTATGCCCCTAATGTTTAGCATACGGATGAGTACTCAATGCCTACAGAAATGAGCTATGGTTACAGGCAAGTTTATCAATAGAGATTTCACAGTATTCTCATAGTCTAGCACAGAGTCTCTTTCTTGGGTGTGAAAGTTCAAAGTCATGATTCAAAAACATATGGCAAGATCTTCAAGAATCTCCTAAAAAAGAAAACATATCTAACACAGTTTTATTGTGTATCTTTTAGTCCTTTGAAAGTGGGCAACTTCTGTAGAGTTAAAAAGGCAAATAGCCAGTTAATAAAAGTGTTAAATTAACCACAGTATCTAAAAATAAAGCCATACTGACCGATAGTTGAAAGGAAAAAAAAAAAATGGTAGATACATTATAATAACACTGACGAACAGTTTCATTTTTTCCCCCTGCCCATCAAGTGCTAGGTGCCGTAATGCCTTTCTCAGAAACAGCATTATATATATTAAACTGGAGGCAAAAAAAAAAAAAAATCCATTTTCTAACATAAAATAATCACTCTGGTTCTTTAAATAGTAAAGAGCAGCTGCCATCTAGTGACTTGTTGCTTAGCAATGCTGCTGTATACCTTCTCTCCTCTCGAGCCAGGGAGTCCTGCCCACCCTATGCTGGGATTGAAGCATTGGCATTTTTCTGGAAAACCACTTTTCTAGCCTTCTGTTTTTAAAGCTGTTACCAGATCAAGTAGAGTAACTAATGAATTCTGAGTTTTCAAGTTCAGGCAAATGAAAGGGCAAAGTGAGAGCTCACAGACATACAGGCTTCCATGTGTAAATCAGAAACCACCTAGAAATCATGCACTTGCCCCAGAAACAGGAAGGAGAGTAGCACAGAGGAGGTGAGGGAACTTTTTTTTTTAAAAGCAGGCAGTGACTTCTGGCATCCTTCAAGATCTGGTGCAAAAGGGAAGGATAAACAAAAACAAAATTCAGGAAGATAGTAGTGCAGTGTCGGCCTTTTTTGTTGTTGTTTCTTTTCTTTTTCCTTTTATTCCTTCTTTTTTTGGTTGAAGTAAAATTACTACACATAACTGGTTAAAAGGTAATGGAAAAATTTTGTGTGGGATAATTGACAGAAGTTCTTTCTTGATAACCTTTAAAAGCTTGCCAATTGGTAATCCTAAAGGCTTTCAAATGAAAGCCAGGAACAAGCTAAATGCGTCCAGTATGTGACAAAACTTAACAAGCGATGGGAAATCAATTACTCTGTGCCGTCATACCTCAGAGATAGTGCAGGTTTGCTTCTAGACCACTACAATAAAGTGAATATCACCCTAAAGTCACACACACTTTTTTTGGTTTCCCAGAGCATATAAAAGTTATATTTACACTATACCGTGGTCTCTAAGTGTGCAATAGCATTATGTCTAAAAAAATGTGCCTACCTTAATTTAAAACTACTTTATTGCTAAAAATCCTGGCACAGAGACATGAAGTAAGCGCATGCTGTTGGAAAAATGGCACCAATAGACTTGCTTGACACAGGGATGCCACAACTTTTGATTTGTAACAACACACAATATGTGTGAAGTGCAATAAAGTGAAAAGCACAATAAAATGAGATATGCCTGTACTCACAGAGAAGAGAATTCTAATTAGCTGCAAGCCCATGAGAGGATATGAAGACACTAAAACACTGCATAGGTTTCAGTGTGCCATAACTTACCCATTCCAATGTTCTTGTTTGCCTTATGTTCAGAAGTGAGAAAGGGTATTGCTCCCTCTCTCATGTTCGTGTGATGAAGGCGGCAGCGTGGCACACTAGGGAGGGGTGTGAGGTTGGGTCTCAGCCTGCTGAAGGAACTGGGATAACACACATATTTTCTGCGTCTGGGTTTTCTCATCAGTCAGACCAATTGATTTCTTTCTTCCGGCTTAAATTTCTGATTGTGATGTTGGTCTTATCAGCTACGACTTCTGGGAAAGCCACAACCTTTCTGATCCTCTGACTCCACCAGGGGAAAAAGTATCAGGTGAACTGGGCACCATGATTCTAAATTCTTTCCAGTTCTGTATTTCATATTCCTTTCTTGTTCCTTCACCAAGGAGATAATAGAATGAAAAAGACTCATGTTTGAATAACAAGGCCATGGAAATCACAGTGGGGGTTTTGGGAGAAAGGGGGTTAGCATGTATAACCTGGGATCATCACATACTGGAAAACTAAGCATGAAATGTATTCAGAAGGAAATTCTTCATCAGCAAAAAAAAAAAAAAAAGCAAAAACGAAGGCACAGCACCACTCATTTCTCTAAATCCTTCTGTCAGATGTTACTTACAAAACAGAGAGAGGCAAATAGAACAATAATACCTCTCATCTAGTGTGCACACATGTAGAACTCTGAAGAATGGCAAGCTGATAATTCCAATGTCGTTTCATGGATGTGTTTTTAACACCCAGCTCTCTATGGGGATTTCCTAGACATGCAGCTGCAACCAACTCAGCACAACACTAGATGTCAGTAGATGTGGTAAGAAATGAAGCCTTATCTAGTGATTTGAAAATCAGGGGAAGTAATTCCCATCTACAGCACAGTTTATTCCTACAGATTTGTTGGAACTATTATTCTGCTTCCCAGTAGCGATAAATCTTTCTTTTAACTCAAGTGTCATATGACCTTGGAAATCATGTAGACTTGGAAAGGTCTTTGAATGATGCCTTATGAAGTCATTCTGAGGTTTCCAGATGAAGAACAGACTCACTTATTTGGCTCACTATAACTGTTAAAAGAATTAGTTGGTTAAAAGGTTTGGCAGCCCAAGTAGTTTATAAATAACTTAATAA